TCTCTTATTTTCAATTGTTAAACAGATGGAAAATTTGTGTACCAGTGAAGTCTATATTAAGCCAAAGAAAATATTCGCAACGTTATTTACTGTATGCATTATTTCGACTTCATCAACACTTTATTTTCCATTTTCTGGAGAGTCAGAGTCAAGAATCTATTCCTTCTTTGTCTCCACTCAGTGAGCATATTTACTCTGAAACTATGGCAATCTTTTGGTTTGAAAGTTTACCGAAGAATAGTGTTTCATCAGTTAAAAATAACTTCTTGTTGAAATGAAATCTGTGTGACCATAGAGAGATGGAAACCAAAACTGTTTTTTTTCGTAAACTTCAAAGGGAAAAGCCAGGAAATTTTAGCTGCATCAACAGAACACCAGGTACAGACCTACTGAAAATAAATAGGCTAGTTGCATAAAACGACCCCCCCCAAAAAAAAGAGGGGGGAATCCTTGGTGATTGACATACTTTGTGTTTATTTCACTTTTGTTGACTGCCTCTACAAGAAGTTGCTGAACGTGCAACGTCTCAGTAAATGAGACAAAACCTCTGTCTTCATACAGCACATGGAATATGTATTACTCAATACGCAAACCGGCATATAACATTTAAAAAAACTGATCAATGGGTGTGTAAGCACGGGCTCACCGTGGAGGTCACAGAGCAACTTTAGGAAGGCAGTTTCTCTCCTTCCGTCATGAGTCCTGTGAATCGAGCTCAGGTCGTCAGGCTGAACTTAGCTTGTCAGGCTCACACAGCTATCACTTTTACTCACCGAGCCGTCTGCTGTCTGGCTCTATAGTTACAAATTTCGAACACCATTTGATGAAGTACAGGCTTCCATAACTGAGAGACCGTATCTAGACTGGAGAAGACATGCCTGGTCAAAAAAAAAAAAAAAAAGCATTTGAATGAACTCTGATGATTAGATAGCAAATAGTTGAAGAAGTTAATCGAGATCAACAAACACAGAAAGTGAAAAGGTCAGGCTTGTAAAGGTGTGGTGTACACAAGAAGGCCAGTGTGTCTGGAAACAAAATGACGGTGTGTTTGTGTGTGTGTAGGGGGCATGTGTGTGAGACTGGAAATGTTTTGGTGGGTATACGGATTTAGGCATATTAAGCATTCTAGTGAAAAACTGAAGCCAAAATGCCTCAATTAAAATGATATGAGGCTTCAGAGATGACTCCGAGGCTTAGAGTTCTTCCAGAGGCCCAGGGTTTGGGTCTCAGAACCTACCCAGTTGATTACAACTGTTTGTATCGCCAGTTCCAGAAGATCTGATACCCTCTCGGGCCTCTATAGTCACTAAGCATGTGGCACACAGATAGACATACAGGCAATACAGCCATACATGTGAAATAGTCAAGAAATAAATGATTTTGAATAGAAAGAAAATGATGTGATCATATTTTATTTTCAAAAGTCAGTCTGTAATAAGGGGATGACAGGTGTGGTGATACGCCTATAATCCCAGTACACAATGGTGCCAGAGGCAGGAGGATTACCAGAAGTTTTAGGCCAACTTGGGACACATAGCAAGTTCCAGGCTAGTACATAGTGAGACCGTGTCTCAAAAAGAAAAGAGGCAGGGGGGTATAGGGAGTGGAGTCAGGGGAAACTTCCTATTTCAGTTGTAAATTCTTACCAAGAAAAAAAAAATCATAGGAGTTGAAGCAAAACTGTTTTTTAGCTTCATTTACTTTGAGACATAATACTGGCATGTAGTCCAAGCTGGCCTTCAATTCACTATACAGCCCAGGCTGACCATAAAACTCAATAGAACTTAAGATCCTCCGGCCTCAGTCTTCTAAATGATGGGTTGTAGGTACAGCCCATCACACATGACTCAAGACTAAATGGCGCTTCTCTTGCTGAAAGGTAACCCCACAAGAAAGAATACAAGGAGCAGATCTGGGAGAAGGACAGTCAGAGAGGTAAGTAAGACACTTGGGACCATTTTTCCCAGGGAGGTGGCTGGGTTACTTACCGTACAGAACTTGGATAAAATTAACATTGATAATTTTATCACTGAGATCCGAGGTCAAGGGGAGTGGTGTCGGGCTTTGGGCTGGGAACCAAAGAACCATCTAGGAAGAAGATGGGTAAGCCGGAAATGGGCCAACCGTTTCAGAGCATTGAACCCTTCTCTCTCAAGCCCTCTGATGTGCTTCAGTCGTATTGGATTAAGGCGATTTAGGACTGCAATTGATTTTAGTCTTTGGCTGCAAGATAACTCCTTTGAGCGCAACAATATTCTTTAAGACCCGGAACCATCATTTTTATGACCACTCAAATACAACGCACTCACTGAAAAGTAAACTAGGCAAGCATTCGTAAGCAGATGGAACAGGTGAAAGGACACAGAAGCCAGCCTGGAGATCTTACTGAGCAGTGTGTGAGTGACGGTGAAATAATGGCAATTCATGACAAAACACTTCACTTAAAGGAAATTCACTAATATAAAAAAAATATTCTAAAAGTAGGGGGAATAAAAAGAGAGGAGAGCAGGCTGTGTTGGCTTGTTTTGCTTTTGTCCTTTGAGATAAGCCTCAAGGGTATATATAAAACTCAGCTTGGCCTCCCTCAGCCTCCTCAGGCTTTCAGTTTCCTAAAGAAGCCAGATTGCAGGCATCTAACACCATACCCAGCTGAGAAAATGCTTTCCCTGAAGAACAATAGCTAGGAAATGTGGGGCAGACTGGTAAAATTAGAAAATCATTTGGTTAACTAATATAATAGTTGATGAGAGGTTACCAGTTGATGTCACCGCTTCTAGGTGAAAGGTTAGAAGATAGTCATTCTTAGCCGGGCATTGGTGGCACACACGCCTTTAATCCCAGCACTCGGGAGGCAGAGGCAGGTGGATCTCTGTGAGTTCGAGGCCAGCCTGGTCTACAAAGTGAGTTCCAAGGCAGCCTCCAAAGCCACAGAGAAACCCTGTCTCGAAAAACCAAAAAAAAAAAAAAAAAAAAAAAGAAGATATTCATTCTTGAAGCACATCTTCTGCATTGCCCATACTTCCCCCAGCAAGGCTACACCTCCTCCTCCACAGCACCTCCGGTGATGGTTACTTAGGGTTCAAATACCTGAGCCAACAGGGGACATTTCTCATTCAAACTACCACAGTGAGTTTCGAGCTTCATAGCAAGACCTGATTCATAACAAAAGCCAAAATAGCAATGCCATGAATTCCAAATAGTGGGATTTCCTATAAAACTGAAAAAAGAAATACTGATATCATGAGCGATAAAAAAAAAAGAAACTATTTTAGATTGAAGGACATTAACGGCTATGTTACCTACATGGTGGATATTTTAAAATATTACCATGACATTCAGATAACTGGTGAAACAGATGCAATGAATTATATATGACAAGAGTATTAATTTCTCAACTAGAGTAATGGTGAGAATTACCATTATGTATGTAATACATATTTTTGCATATTTTTTGTTTTAATTTTGTTTTGAGGCCAGGTCTCACTATGTAGCCCTGAATAGCATAAAACTCAAAGAGATGCTCTCTCTCTCTCCCTCCCTCCCTCCCTCTCTCGTTTATTCATTCATTCATTTTCATCTGTGTGTGTGTGTGTGTGTGTGTGTGTGCACATGCAATAACGCATGTGTAGAAGACAGAGAACCACCTGTGGTAGCTGATGCTCTCCCTCCCTCCCTCCCTCCCTCCCTCCCTCCCTCCCTCTCTCGTGTATTCATTCATTCATTTTCATCTTAGTGTTTGTGTGTGTGTGCACATGCAATAGTGCATGTGTAGAAGACAGAGAACCACCTGTGGTAGCTGATGCTCTCCTTGCACCGTGTGGATCCTGAGGATGTGCACTTGGGCTTTCCAGGTTGGTGGCAAGTGCCTCTACCTGATGAGCCATCTCCCAAGCCTTTATTTTTCTTTAATTACAGTTATTTATTTATTTATTTATTTACGTGTGTGTGTGTGTGTGTGCGCGTGCGCATGTGCACGTGTGCACACCTGTGCCACAGCATGAGCGTGAGGTCAGAGGACAACCTGCAGGAGTTTGTTCTCCCACCACGTAGGTCCCGAGAATAAAACTCAGGCGATTAGGCTTGGGAGCTAGCACCTTAACCCGCTAACCCACCTACATGGCTCGCCCTTTGCTCTATTTTTTTTTTTTTTTTTTTTACGAAACAGGGTTTCTCTGTATTGTTTTTGAGGCTGTCGGTCCAGCCCCGCCTCGAACTCACAGAGATCCACCTGCCTCTGCCTCCCGAGTGCTGGGATTAACGGCGTGCACCACCACCGCCCGGCTTCGCCCTTTGCTCTTAAAAGACAGGAGTACAAGCAGAAATATTTAGAGGATGAAGAATCATGTTATATGTAGAGTAAGATCTCACGGTTCAGATATAACCAAATGTTTATCCATGCGCAGATGATAGGCAAGCATTCCTCACATACTATAGAAATAGTACAACGCTAGGTTTGGCGGAAGCATCTGTCATTTCCGGGAGGCGGGGCCAGGAGGACCAGTTCAAAGTCATCAGCAGCAGCTCCGCTGTGAATTCCAGGCCAACCCGCCTTGCAGGAAACGGCTTGGCAGATAAAGGGAGAGAACCAGCTCCCACAAGTTGTCCTCCGACTTCCACATGAACACCACAGTCTATACATACACAAATAAGTGGGGGGAGGAGGAAAAAGCATTTGGGAGTGAAGAATTGGGGGTAAATATGATCAAAACACATTGTACACGTATATGAAATCAAAGAATAAAGCCATTCTTAAAAGCATCACTGTGGAAGCCGGGCGTTGGTGGCGTACGCCTTTAATCCCAGCACTCGGGAGGCAGAGGCAGGCGGATCTCTGTGAGTTCGAGACCAGCCTGGACTACCAAGCGAGTTCCAGGACAGCCTCCAAAGCCACAGAGAAACCCTGTCTCGAAAAACCAAAAAAAAAAAAAAAAAAAAAAAAAGCATCACTGTGGAAATATTAACTCGTTTACAAATATAGGAAAATTAAAGTGAAACTGGTTTTTATTTAGCACACTGTCATTTAAAAGAACACAGGCTTGGAGAGACGGCTCGGAAGCTAAGAGCGCTGGCTGCTCTTCCAGAGGGCCTGGGCTTGATCCCAACACTCACATGGCTGCTCACAGCTATCAGGGATCCTGCAGCCTCTTCTGGCCTTCCCAGGCACCAGGCATACACACGGTGTACAGATAGGCAAACGGGCAGAAATCCACACACTTTTGAAAACTTAAAAACAGAGACATTTATTAGTAAAATATTTACTTTTTTCCTATAAAAACATATCAAGAGTAAACTGAATAGCATATATATCATCTATATCTGTTTCATCTATAAGATATACCGATACGTTGCTTAGAAGAAAGCACTTCCCACAAAGAGTGTTTAAACAGTCTTCATAAAAGTGTTGAGGAAACCCCAGGCGTGCATAATGGGTTCCAATCCCCAAAGGCCTCCCCCACCTCTTCTACTTTCATAACGCCTCCCTGGCTGTCACTTAAAGGAAAGTCTGGCTTCAAGAATTGCCTAAAAGACCACACTAGCTATCTCCTGGAAGGATCAAGTTCCCTATTTATCTAACAAAATCTACAGAAGAAAATCACAAGCGAGGAGTTACTCAGGGAAGGAACAAAGAAGCATAGTATGCCGGGCGTTGGTGGTGCACGCCTTTAATCCCAGCACTTGGGAGGCAGAGGCAGGCGGATCTCTGTGAGTTCGAGGCCAGCCTGGTCTACAAAGTGAGTTCCAGGACAGCCTCCAAAACAATACAGAGAAACCCTGTCTCGAAAAACCACAAAAAAAAAAAAAAAGAAGCATAGTATATGTATATCCCACTTGGTTTTCTGAAGTCTCCGACCGCTCCTCCTTCTGACATGTTAGACCAATGCATACTTTGTAGCCTAGAAATATTACTTAGAAAAATCAAACTTGCAGGAAATCCCCCCAAGGTTCAGGTACAGGACCAAAGTGACTTGAAGATTCTAGAGGGAGGATACAGCAGTTGCTGGCAGCTTGCGAGTATTATAGGACCTAAGAATGGAAGAGGGGGTTCATGTGCTGAGTCTCCTCTTACTACACAACCTTCAGTGTGGACTGGAGGAGGGGTAGGGTATGTTAAAAGGACATCGGGACTAAAGAGACTTGTCCAGCCTAGTAAGACAGTTTTACCTGGATGCTCTGTAGCTAACTGAGTCTCACTGCATCCAAAATCTTAGCTCATCCTCCTGCTTTGTCTCCCTTGACCAATTTTGTCTCCTTTTCTCCAATTTCCTTTTTTATGTACCCTCCTAAATTACAAAAAAAAAAAGTCTTTTGTGCAGATGCAAAATGCTCCCTTTCGTATGCTCTCCAATCAGTCTCCATTCTTCTTTATACCCCCTGAAACTGCCTGGCAGAGGCCTTCAGTCCATCCTAATAGTCATGGTTCTTTTCTCGTCAGCATTCAAACTGCACGCTTTCCAGTGGCTTCCAACCTCCGGTATGCTACATACCCTGGTTTCCCTTCTATTTCTTTGTTCCTTCTGTTTTCTCACAGGTTCCTCTTCCACCAACCTCCAAAATACGGGCTTCTGAGATTTCTTTAAGTACGATTGGTGTGTATCAACAATACCGTTAATATGTGTTAATAATAAGCTGGTACGAGGCGTCCAGCTTCTAAGTATAAATACTAATTTGACGTGGCTTCTTCTGCTTGTTCTGTCAAGCACCTGAAACATGACATACCTGACCTTCATCCAAATTTTTTGTGTTTATTTAGTTTAGTATTTATCTGTGAGTGTGTGTGATACGTGGTTGTGTGTGTGAGAGTGTGTGTGCATGTGTGTAGACATGAGTGTGCATGCCACTTCATGTATTCTGAGGTCATAGGACACCTTGTGAGTTGTCAGGGTTTGAGAATATCGGGCCTCTAGCTCCTGGGTTTCTTCCCACTCCAGGCTCACAGGCTCCAGTGCTTCCTGCAGATTCTGTCTCTGCTTACTTAGCAGTATGGGGGCTGAAGACGTATGCCGCTGCATTTGGCTTGTGCATGGGTTCCAGGGACTGAATACTCTTGGCTTTCACACCTAGTGCTTCTACTCACTGAGCTGTCTCCCCGGCCCTCGTTTGCTTAGCTTTTGAGACTGGGCCATGCTACGGTGCCCTGTCTCTTGGAGAGCTAGGATGGCAGGGTTATGTCACCATGAACGGCTGGTTCCACCAAACTCTTGAATCACTTCAAATCTTCCTTGCCTGACCTGCTGTCCCTATATTTTCAGCTTAGTAGATGGTAATTTTAGTTTACTCAAACCCTTCCATTCCTTCATCTTGCACATCTAAACGCTTTGTAATCCCTATGCTTTTCTAAAACAAAAAACAAAAAGAACAAACAAACAAACAAAAACTCCAATCTGTTACTTCCATTTATTTCCCTCCTATCACTTTGGTTCAAGGCAGCACTTAGATTCTGGCCACCAGTATCCAAGCTGATTTCTCAGGTGTGCTTCTTGGGACTCTGTTCTCAAACTCTGCCCCGATATTTTTGCCAAGAGCCAGCCAGCCAGCAGATTGTTAAGGGTGTCTTAATGTACCCACAAGGGCATGCATAACTTGTCTTCTGCCAGTCTCTCTAATCTAATCCTGTTCTGTTCTCTCCACCCACAGAGCTTCAGACTGTTGCCTTTTCAGTTTCTGGGACCAGCCCAATGCTTTCCCACCTCAAGATTTTGCATACATGGTTCCCTTTTCCGTGAACACTCTCTGCCTGCTACTTGATATGTACTCTCTTTGACTGCACTTGGCATTTGGTGCAGTGATTGGCCCACAGTAGGCTCTTACAAAAAGTGTATCTAACTGGATCACTTAATAAACAGCCTGGTGTTGTGTGAACAGGACATAGAGGGACAGCATTAGTCCGGATCCTCTAGAGGAGCAAGGCTTACAGAATGAAATATAGAGAGAGAATGATATATAAATTCCATACATATGGGGTTTATTAGAATGGCTTACAGGCTGTGGTCCAGTTGGTCCAACCATGTCTGTCTGTGAATAGAATGTCCAGGAACCCAGTAGTTCTTCAGTTCACGAGGCCGGATGTCTCAGCTGGTCTCCAGTATGCGCCAGAATCCCAGTGAAGTATGCTTGAATACCAGTGGAGGAATGGAGTTAACCAGTGAGCGTGAGAGCAAGCAGGCAAATGGGTCAAGTTCTCTTCTCCCGTGTCCTTTACATAGGCTGCCAGTAGGAAGTGTGGCCCGGATGAAAGGTGTGTCTCCCTGACAGAAAATATCTGGATTAAAGGTATATCTATCTTCCCACTCCAAAAGAGCCAATTGGAAGTGGGTATCCACAATTCAAATTATTAAGTTGAGACACCCTCATTTGTGTGCCCAGGCCACATGGGTTTTTAGCCAATTCTAGTTGCAGTTAAGTTGACAACCAAGAGTAGTCATCACAGGGACCAACCCCACAAGCCAGAAGACGCTCTTTGGAACACTAGAATGATGTGCATATAGAGGCCCATGACTGGTGCTTCTTCTGTTTTAAGGATTCCGCTATTCTGTTGATCAAATCAATTAATAATGGTTTTTGAGTCGGGCGGTGGTGGCGCATGCCTTTAATCCCAGCACTTGGGAGGCAGAGACAGGCAGATCTCTGTTAGTTCGAAACCAGCCTGGTCTACAGAGTGAGTTCCAGGACAGTCTCCAAAACAATACAGAGAAACCCTGTCTCGAAAAACCAAACCAAACCAAACCAAACCAAAACCAAAACAAAAACAAAAAAACAAAAAACAACTTGGAATTGAACCCAGGGTCTGGAGCATGCTAGGTATCAAGTTATATCCACTCTGTGAATAAACTTTCCTTTTTCAGTTGGCACCAATGGGTAAACTTTTACCATGCACTTATGGTTGGATATAACATGATGTAACTAGTCAAATCCAATTTATCCACAAACATCTCTGTTCTTACTCTGTACTTCTTAAGTAATTGTGATCATTTTCAACAGCATACATTCCCCAAGAGTAATTTCTGTCAAGAGAAAGAGAAATATGTAAACATTTTATGTACATAAAGATGAACACTCATCTGTGTGCTTACATAATGTCTGAAAAGAACTAATGATACTTTTTAGGTTGTCGCTTTGAGAATATTTCCTAAAATGCAATCATTATGAAGAAAATTGGTGCTTTTATAGAGGAATTCAGAATAAACAAGCACATATGTTATGTAAGTTCTAAGAAGGAGGTGTGTTAATCATACAGGTTTTGGGCAGCTTAATATTGGAATTCAAGATATTTTAATTCATAATTTTGCTGACAGGTGCAGAATCTTGAATTTATATAGCTTCTGTGTGGGAAGCAATTTGTTAGTGGAGTTTTACCTTACTAGACAAATGCTTGATAGATCACGCATTTCGGGTACATAAAATAATCCCAAAATGGGCCGGGCGTTGGTGGCGCACGCCTTTAATCCCAGCACTTGGGAGGCAGAGGCAGGCGGATCTCTGTGAGTTCGAGGCCAGCCTGGTCTACAAGAGCTAGTTCCAGGACAGCCTCCAAAGCCACAGAGAAACCCTGTCTCCAAAAACCAAAAAAAAAAAATCCCAAAATGGATCTAAATTTTGCCTTTTTTTTTCCTTTCAGGATACTCAAAAAACACCCCCATCTGAAACCCTTAGAGGAATTTATAGATAAATATTTTTCTTCACATGTTTTTTTTTTTTGCCACAGATGAAACGGAGTAATTATCCTGACGTTTCTAATGTTACATAGTCTCTGCAAACCTGTAAAGCAAAAATCTGTGGGGTTGTTTGTCTCCATCAAGCACAAATAAACATTTTACTGCGGTAAGATATATGTAACATCAAACTTACAAATTAATCACTTTTGATTACAACTCAGTGTCACCAGTAACATCCACAGTATTGCGCAACCCTCCCTACTGCGTCTAAACTTTCTCCCCCTATCTCAAGGAGAAACTCCAGTTAAGCACAGACACTTGGAATGGTTTTTTTCTCTTCCTTGTTCACTCCTTTTCCCCTCACACTGCTCATCTTCAGTTCTAGCGTGGCATTATATACACGGTGGACACTTGGTAAATAGTTTGTTAGAGAGTAAACTACTTAATAAGCACTTACTTAACATGTTGACTACTGCGCGGTCATGTTTGGGGGAAGAAAATGGAGCTCTTGTGGCTCTGTGCCCTCACTAATAAGTGGTCGTATCGGCCTTAACTTTTAGCCTTTTTTTATTTTTTTCCTTTGGTTTTTCGAGACAGGGTTTCTCTGTATTGTTTTGGAGGCTGTCCTGGAACTAGCTCTGTAGACCAGGCTGGCTTTGAACTCACAGAGATCTGCCTGCCTCTGCCTCCCGAGTGCTGGGATTAAAGGCGTGCGCCACCCCCCCGGCAACTTTTAGCCTTTTTAACGGATGTCCTGTGACTTTCAGACACACTTCATCTTTTACAATTTTTACCACCATGACAAAGTAACTGGAAAGAAAAAAAAACCGCTTAAAGGCAAATTATTTTGGCTCACGCTATGAGAGGTTGCCGTCCACTGCTAGCTCTTAGCCATTACGAAACAGTATCATGGCGTAACAGCATGCATGGCGGCCGGGAAACAGAGTGAGACGGAGCCAAGGCATAACTCTGTACTTCCTCCAGGTAACCGTCACTTCCTAGTCAATGGCATCATACGATGAGCCCATCAGTGAACGAATACACGGATTAGGTCACAGCTCCCCAGATCCAGTCACTTCCCCAAAACTCATCAGGTGTCGATCAGTCGTACAACATGTGGAGCCTTTAGAAGAATGCTGGATTCAAACAACAGCAGTATCTTCTCGTTTGTATACAGGCCATCCAAATGCCTTGCTTATAAAAATCATCTGTTCTGTGTTTTCTTTTACAATTAAACTGACTGATACATACTGTAGATATTTTTAATATGTTATAAATATGGGTTTCTTGTCAGGCGCAATATTTGCAAATATTTTCTCCTACTCTGTGGTTTATCTGTTCACTTCCTTAATTTGTCTAAGAACATGAGTTTTTCATTTTGATGCAGCTCTGATGATTTGACCTTGTTTTTTGTTCTAAAGACTCTTAGCCAGCCCAAGTTTGCTAAGTATCTTTTATAACTGTGATTTTGTAGATGCTTTATATCAAGTTGAAGAAAGTCCCTTCTGTTTCTGATTTGCTGAGAAACTCATAATTGAGATACTTATCAAATACTTTTTCTGTATTGAGGTGATTATTTGATAACATCCTTTATTCATGGTGAAATACATTGGTCAATGTTTGAATTTAAAGCCAACCTTTGTTTCTGAGATAAAAATTTCATATATCAACTTTTAAAAGGTCCCCTGGACAGAAATCGATAGCATAAGGTTCATAGACAAATCTGCATTGTTGTTCATAAGGTATGCTAGGCAGTGTTTTCACTCTTGTAATAGCATTATTAGTTTTGGTGGTAGAGCAGTTGGTCCATCACAGAATGAACTGGAAAAAAAATTTCCCTTCTGATTTGTGAAGGAGATTCACAACTAAAACTATTTGGGATTAAAGTAAAGCCCAGGTTAAGGACTTCAATCTTTTGAAAATAGGTATTGATAATCTAATTTTTGAGCCAGAGAAATGTCTCATTGGATAAAAGCTCTTGCCATGCAATCTTGAAGATAAATTCAATCCTCAGGAGCCATGTAAAGTTGAAGGAGATAACCTATGTGGCAAGCAGGTCTAATATATTGGGTGAAAGCCTGGAGATTTAAGTAAAAGACAAGGCATTCAGCGGTTTGCGCTAAGAGAATGCCCGTATGAGCAAGGAGAATGCATGTGTGTGTTGCCCTTTGTGCTAAGAGAATGTGTGAGTGTGCCCATTGCAAGAAGGGAGCAGCCTTATATACAGACTTACAACACAGTGAAGAAACCGCAGGTGTAAGAGTCCATGTTTTCCTTGCACTAGATGCTGAAGTCAGTGGGGCAAGGCCGGGGCTGTAATCCAGGACTAGAGAACAGGGTGCGCCGGTGGTTATCAGCTGACAAGCAATGCACACAGATCTGTGGGCGCCGGGGCCCAACAAACCTACTCCAGTGTTGTCCTCTGAATTCCAAAAGTGCACTGTGGCACACACACACACACACACACACACACACACACACACACACACACACCTCCCCCATTCTCGTATGTACACATAATAATAAGTAAAATTTTTTGAGGCAGCCGGGCGTTGGTGGCGCACGCCTTTAATCCCAGCACTCAGGAGGCAGAGGCAGGCGGATCTCTGTGAGTTTGAGACCAGCCTGGACTACCAAGCGAGTTCCAGGACAGCCTCCAAAGCCACAGAGAAACCCTATCTCGAAAAAAATTTTTTTGAGGCAGAGTCTCATTGTATAATATTGTGGCCTGGAATTTACTAAGTAGTCCAACCTAGGCTTGAACTCACAGAGATCCACCTGACTGCCTCCTAAGTGCTGGGATTAAAGTCATGTGTCGTCATACCTGAAGATAAGTACTTTTCTTTCTTTCTATTTTTTTGTGTTTTTTTTTGAGACAGGGTTTCTCTGTATTGTGAGAGACTACCTGTCCTGAAACTCGCTCGGTAGACCAGTCTTGGTCTCGAACTCATAGAGATCCACCTGCCTCTGCCTCCTGAGTTCTGGGATTAAAGGCGTGTGCCACCACCACCCGGCGAAAATAAGCACTTTTCAAAACTTTTGTTTCTGTTTCTTTTTCTGTGCAGGGTGGCTACTTTTCTTGTTTTGTTTGAGGCTACATCTTGTTATCTAGACCAGACTAGTCTTGAGCTGAAACCCCCCTTCAGAACTCCTGAGGGTTGCAGTTATTGCCTTCAGTAACACATTTGGCCAATTTCAATAGATACGAGGCTATTAGGATGATTGTTTTTCTTCTTGAACCAAATTTGATTATTTATGTCTTCTAAGGAATTGATTCATTTGTTTATTTTTAGACATTAAAATTTTTTCTTGTTTCTTCCTGTTTCTTGCTCCCTATGCAGCCCTGGTTGTCCTGGAACTCACTATACAGCTCAAGATAACCTTGAACTCCTAGAAATTTGTCATGTCCAAAGTGTCACCCCAAAATTACAGTGCTGGTAGCACTGTCCTAACCAGAGGGACTTTGCCTGGGTAAACAGAAAGATTGTTGTTGGGTAAACTCAGACCTAAAGGTGCGTTCCTGTTTACCAGGAGCCTCACTTAAATCATCCGGAACCTTCCTTAATCCTTGCCAAAGGTCAACTACCTTGAGCAATGGCATCTAGTTCCCAAGAAATTGGAACAGCCTATATCAACTCAAAGACCTCACTCTACTGACGGTCTTATAAAATATGCTTGCTTTTTTTTCCTTTTTAATTTTTGCCATTTGCTCTTTTCTCTGTCTCCCCTACCCCCAGGAAAAAGCCTTGGTAGTTTGGTGTCCAAGAAACCTTTCTTTCTAACCGTGGGGGCAGTATACATGGTTCAGTGGTTTCACAGTCTCCTGCCGTCACTAACAGGCTGTACCTGCCTTTCCTCCTAAGTGCTGAGATTAAGGTGCGTAACACCAGGTTGAGTCATTTTTTTTTCCTTTGATTCATGGGTTATTTAGAAATGTGCACCAGAACTTGCAAGAATTTAGTAGTTTTCCAGTTACCTTTATCTTGTTGATTTCTAGCTAAGTTTCGTATGATCCAAGAATATACTTGGACCGATTTCGGCTTCTGAAACTAAAGGCTCAGAATGCATTCTTCAGCATGATTTTAAGTGTTATGTGAGAATGTGTGCTGCTATTTGTTGAGTGGGAAAGTCTATAAGTGCTGAATAATAATGATCATAATAATCATAATCATAATAAAATTTTAGCTGATTGTGTTGCTCCAACTACTCTGTGCCTTTTCTGATTCACTGTCTACTTGTTCATCTCCTGTTGACAAATCATGGCATTTTGGACCGTCATTGCTGATTTGCCTCTTTTTCCTTGGGGTTCTTTTTAGTTACTGTTTACTGCTGTGAAAAAAATATATATATCTATATGTCACAGACAAAGTCTACCTAAGAAAGAAAAGTTTCACCTGGCTTGCAGATCCAGGGGCAGGGTCTGTTATTGTGGGGGCAGCATGGCAGGAAGAAAGTGGTGTGAGGGAACTGAAAGGTGACCTCTTGATCCACAGGCAGAAAGCAGACAGGGTGAACTTAAATTGGAGTGAGGCTATGGACAGACCCCCTAGAAGTCACGTAGCCTCCCTCCCCAAATGGGACCACCAACAGGGGACCAGATGTTTAAATACATGAGTCTGGGGGGGGCACATTTCTCAGACCACCACAGTTCTTTAATCTTCATGTCATGTATTACTTTGAATCTCTGAGTCTAGAAGTGGGTGGCTGAAAGTCAAGTGTCTTCAAGGTCTGCCTGAAAACTGGGTGTTTAATCTGAAAATTTCCCCAGTTGTCATACGATGAGGCCTCACTGGAATTCCACCCGATTTCGTTAATTACTGTTTATTCAGCAAGTTAACTCCGCTCTCCAAGTTGCAGCTGCTTCCCACCTGAGATCCTAATCTGTGACTGGAACTCCGCAGGACAGCATGTTCTACTTGGCCTTGTCACACCGCTCTCAAAAGCACCTCTCAGGGAAACTAGGCCCTGCTGTAGAACCCATCCCATTTATTTCCTGGTCTGAGACAGAGACAACGCTGTCTGCTGCTCAGTGACTGTAAACATTTTGATTAGAGTTAGGCATGTTGTGTTCTAGACCCAGTTACTCTAACTTGCTCAAAAACAGAAGGGGGAGGGGGGCACTCGTGGGAATTGGAAGGAGGTGTAATGGTGGATAAACATGATCAAAATGCATGTATAAATAAATGTATGAAAACTTCAAAGAATAAGTAAAAAAGCAAATCAGCCACTCCTGAAAGAAGGACGATACTGCAGAAGGTTCTACCGTAATCACACATTATATCTTACTTAAACGAAGGAGAGCTTCTTTTTTAAAAGAACACATCCTTTGAAAAATACTGGGTGACAAGTGTAGTGATCCATGCCTGTGACCCCAATTAAAACTACTCAAACCTCTTTCTACCGGTTATAGGTAAAACGTAAAATCAACAAGTCTGGGGTCACTGGAAACCCCATCTCTCAAAGTTTTTTTATCTACTTCCCTCAAGTTTTACGTTACCTATTAGGAAAACTTGGGGTTTATTATAGCAAGATAGAAGAGGAAAACATGGAAATATCCACAATACAATACATGAGCATCTAACATTAAGCTCTTAATAATATGCCTATCATTCAGTAAGACTCGCCATGAGAACAAGCGACCCTAAAACCTGAGGGTTTCCATCCTATAGCAGCATAGGTTTATTTCTTGCTCATGCTGCGTTTCCATTGCTTTCTGACCTTAACTCTACTTTGCACTATTTTTTTTCTCTGGGACTTAAAGTGATGGAGCAATTACCGTCTGGAACATTGCTGGTCATTATGGTGTACAAGAGAGAGAGAGAGAGAGAGAGAGAGAGAGAGAGAGAGAGAGAGAGAGAGAGAACAAGGCAAACTGTATACTAGCTCTTAGATAGTCCTTCTCAACGTGCTGTAAATCATTACCACTAGGACCTCTTTGGTTA